CATGCATGAGCCGCAACTCCATCCTGCCCCAGCTGGGCAGCGCCTGCTCCAGCGCCAGCCCCAGCCCCAGCCCATTCCTCACTGCAGGGGCCTTGATCTGCCTCCCCCACACCCCTTTCCTCCCCCCTCCCCTCCCACCACAACAGACTTACCAGCTGGATGCAGCTCTCCAAGTTGTGGGGCTGTGCTCCTCGCTGCCTACGTGCTGTGCTGTGACTGCGTGCATGCACGGGGCATTTGTCGGCTGCATTATCGGCCACATCAGGCAAAAAAAAGCCAATTTCTGATACTCTCAATTTTCTTTATATTGGTGCCGATTCGATATCAGACCAATGTGTTGGTGCACCTCTATTATTTTTATTTCATCTTTTCCAAACAGCACAATCCATAAATCCCTGTGTTCCAGACATGACTGGCTATTTCACATATCATGCTCAGCACTAGCAGCTTAAGTTCTTCTATTCCTAGGTAACAGCCTAGTCTCTTTCTATTAGTATAGAACTATTTCAGTTCTTTCTTATTAACCAAACAGTTTCCTAGTTGGATACACACAAAGTCCTTTCACTAAGTATACTGAGTTGTGAATATTAGTAGGTCCCCAGTGCTGGCCCTGGACAGGCTCCTCTGCCTGGGTCTCACCACCTGTCTCACCAGCAGAGACCTCATGTTCCCTGTTTAAAAATTGCAAATTCTCTGATAAGAAACCCAAATTCTCTCATTAAAATACCCCAAATCTGTGTTCTTTCACTATTAAAATGAAACACCACTATACATAGAGAGATCATGTATAGATGAAATAAAACCAAGATGAAATAAAAATAATAGAGGTGCACCAACACATTGATCATGATATATTTACAATAGGGCTTGCAGGCCAAGCCCTATGAGGAGAGACTCGGGCACCTGGACCTCTTCAGCCTCCGCAAGAGAAGGTTGAGAGGCGACCTTGTGGCTGCCTATAAGTTCATCACGGGGGCACAGAAGGGAATTAGTGAGGCTTTACTCACCAAGGTGCCCCCAGGGGTTACAAGAAATAATGGCCACAAGCTAGCAAAGAGCAGATTTAGACTGGACATTAGGAAGAACTTCTTCACAGTTAGAGTAGCCAAGGTCTGGAATGGGCTCCCAAGGGAGGTGGTGCTCTCTCCTACCCTGGGGGTCTTCAAGAGGAGGTTAGACAGGCATCTAGCTGGGGTCATCTAGACCCAGCACTCTTTCCTGCCTATGCAAGGGGTCGGACTCGATGATCTATTGAGGTCCCTTCCGACCCTAACATCTATGAATCTATGAATCAGTCGGGCAATGTTTCATTGATATATTTACAAGTTTAAATTAATTTGGAAGCCTACCAGTGCCTCTATCATCATAATAAAATGGATTCTAGATATCTATACACTTTGGAATTTACTTTTGGGTTATTTATCATCAAAAAATAAAGATCTGTGCCTATTCCCTTCACTCACCGGGATGTGCGGTGCTGAGCAGCACTGATATGCCAGTACCCTGCCCCTGCTCTTGCCCCTCACTCTCAACCAACAGCTCCCTGCACCTCCCAGTCCTCTCACTCCTGACCTGCAGCCCCTGCCTGCCTCCACTAGTTTTCTCCCAGCCACAGCTCTGTCCCAGCACCAGGATGAGAGTCCAGTGGAAGCTGTCCTACCCACTGCTTTGTGGCTCTGAGCAGTGCCAGACCTTGCCGTTCTGCTCCCTGCCCAATGCTGTCCCTAGAAAGTCCTCGACTGGGAATCAGGGACTAAGGAGGCTCTGTCCTCCCAGACCAGCCACCACGGGCGGGCCCGGGGGGGGGGGGGGGGTGTTAATTCTGGCTCTGGAGGCCTCTCCTACCCGGAGTGCTCCCCCACCCCAAATCCCCATCTCTTTCACACACCTCTGCTGCCACCTCTACCCCTCCCCCCAGCCCATCACACCCTCCAAGTGATTCCTGGGACCAGGAGCACCCCCAGGCTGGGGCTGCGTGTCCCAGCACTGGTGAGGGCAGCCAGCAGGTCTTGTCCCATACCATGAAGAGGCACTACTTCACAGTCAGAGTGGCTAGAATCTGGAACAAACTTCCAAGGGATGTGGTGCTCACTCCTACCCTGGGGGTCTTTAAAAGGAGGCTAGACAACCGCCTAGCCGGGGTCGTTTGACCCCAGCATTCTTTCCTGCCCATGGCAGGGGGTCGGACTTGATGATCTGCTTAGGTCCCTTCCGACCCTACCAACTATACCATGTGGCCAGCTGGGCACGCAGGGTGTGAGATTTTTGGGAGGGACATGGGGGGAGTTTGTGGCTGGGTATGTTGGTGAGGGGGTTGTGGGGCTGGTTGGGGGTGTGGGGCTTGTGAGTGGATTGTGGGGGGGGGGGCAGGTTCCTCACCCCCTGCAGGACTCACAGTACTCCCTCCACACACAGCTCACCAACTTCCCCCCAGCATGGCACACAGCCCCCATGCAGCATCAGCAACCATTGGGTGCTCAGGGCCTGGTGCTGGCAGAGCCCCAGACCCAGTGCCTCAGACCCAGTGCCACCTGTGCTGCTTGTTGCAGGCCTGGCCTGGGGCTGTGCACCTTTGGGCAGGACCATGCCATTTTTGTTGTCACCTAGGGTTCTGGCACCACTTGCAAGGGTCGGCGCGTTGTGCCAGGCTGGGTCCTGCCTCCAAGTGCCCTGCATTCCGTCAGGCTGGGCCGGTTCCATGGAAGCAGAACCTGGCCCAGCATGATGCATGGCCCCTGTGAGTGATGCTGGGCCCCCAGTGACAGTCAGAGCAGCCTGGGCCTGCCTAAAGGCGCCTGGCCCCATGCGATGTGGTGCATGCGGCGCCGGGTGGCTGGGGCTGTGCCACACTGCACTGTGCCACGGTCGGGTTCTGCCAGGAGGGTCCCGAGTGATCTGATTGCCACTGCTGCTGCAGGGGGGGGCTGTGGCCTGTGCAGGTAGGTGGAGGACCCACTCCTCCCAAGCAGCCCACCACTCACACACAGTCACCCACCTCCTCACAGCCACGTCCCCCCTCCCCCAGGTAAGTAGGGACTGGATGTCCCTACTTACCTAGGACAGAGCCTGGTCCAGGACACGCTACAGCCTGCACTACTCCAGTTTGCCCCACACACTAAGGCAGCGTGCTGATGCACCAGGGCAAAGGGCAGCCATAGAGATGCTCTGGCCACCTGCTAGAGCGTCTCTTTGGAGGACCCTACCTCTGGTTGCTTCATGGCATGCTACAAGAGCCTGTCTTGCCCCACTTTTTTTCTGCAGGTTTTTTTTTTTTATTGATACTTGGAGGTATCAAATTTAGAGCCTGCACTGCAAATATGCAGCGTGGGGAACATTTTTTTGTTCCCAGTGTGCCTCTTGCAGCATCTCAAACTGCTTTGAGATGCCTCAAGAGGCACGTGTGTGCTCGTCTGGATGTGCTCCTACTGGCCAGATGAACATTTGAAACAAGAACTTACAGCTTTGTTTAGGCCTATTTATACTACTCTCCACATGGTTTTGCTTCTCTCCCTAATTCTTTGTAATTGCTTTGGGGATCTTGCATGCCGGTGTTGCTTTGTTAACTACTGTTATGCTTGCATTATTGCTTTTACAAAAATGTTTTGGCTGACGTCAGGACACAATTTTTCCTTAGTTGGTTTTAGTGCAATATTTGCCATTTTTTTTTACTTATTCATTCAGGAATTATTTTTATCTTTGGGCAGCATGAAGGAAGATATTCTTTTCCATTATAGAAACAGGCCTTTAACAGCCTATAAGAACCTAAGATTCATTTTTGTTTGAGCATTACTTTTCATGCTGTCAGTAACTCCAATAAATACAGACACATCACATTCAGAGGGAAATATTATTTCCACTTTTAGAGCAGCCTGGAAAAAGCTCAAATACCATGATGATACGATTGCCTAGATAAAATGAGAGACCTTCAGATACAGCTTGCTCAGCCTGAGAGAGATAGCCTCACTGATCTTATCTGGTTGAGAACACAAAAAACTGGAAAGAGTCCTAATGACTGGATGTTCAAACTGGAGATAAAATGAGTTGAAGGGGTTAAGACCTCTTCAGTTATAGTAGGGATACAAGAGAAATCCCATCCCCAACAATGCATCCAAGACTGTGCTTCTACTACAACATATCATCTTCTACCAGCAATAATCTAGGACCTATTCTTAAAATCTGAATTACCAGTAGGCAACAGCATGCCAGCAAGGTTTCATGTATAGCTAATGTAAAATGTTCTATTTAAACCACTTTACCTGATTACAGAGAGTTTGGCCCAAGCCTGTTCTGGCTGCAGAGCTAAGGTATATAACAGGTTGCTTGTTATATAACACATTAAAACCTTCTACAGTATAGTCTTCATAGCGTGAGTGAATAACAAGCCGACAGATTTTTAATAGACCTTCACGATCATCTTCATGATAGTAAGCTGATCCATTTTCATATCTGTAGAAAAAAAACCTACTTATTAAATGTATACCAACAGAAGCTGTGTCAGTTTACTGAGAAGTTAAAGGGCTTATGTAAAGACTCTAAAAAGCCTGTCAGTATTATCATGCACATAATGGGCACATCTACGCAAGACACTGAATGCACATTCAACTAATTCTGCTGCGCATTAGCATGACTGGCAAAAACCGTGCTAATGCACAGTAAATAGTTTAATGCGCATGAAGCATCACTAACAAAAACATTAATTTGTGCTAATGCGCAGTAGCGCCAATTACAGTGCATTAAGTTTAGCACCTAGTCAGTACTTTCGACTGATCTCCCTTTTCAACGAATCTTGTATTCCTTTGATAGAAAAAAAAAAACAAATGTCCCTGGACTAGATTAGGGAGAAAGATCAAATTATAGCTGTAAAATTGGAATTCAAGAATGCCTGTTTGGTTTCTATTCTTGGCTCAGTTTAATTTCCAAGTTATGACCTGGGGTTGAATATAGCTTCCAATTTTAATGTCAGCTAGAACATACTAGAATTTACCAGCACTTGGGTCCTTTTGTTTCAGATGCTGCTTAAGAGGATTAGGAAATCCTGACTGTCCTTGGCCAGGTTACTTAGCCTTTTTGCATTTCAGTTTTTCACTGGGTGCGTCTACACGTTCAGTAATGTGCTATAATTACGGCGCATTAAGTAGAGTACCTGTGGTTACTACAGGTTAGTCCCACAGGTACTAAAACTTAATGTGCTGTAATTATGCCGCATTAATGAACGCGTAGATGCATCCAATGAAAAACTGAAACAGAAAAAGGCTACATAACATGGCCAAGGACAGTCAGGATTTCCTAATCCTTTTAAGTAGCATTTGAAACAAAAGGACCTAAGTGCTGGTAAATTCTAGTATGTTCTAGCTGACATTAAAATTGGAAGCTATATTCAACCCCAGGTCATAACTTGGAAATTAAACTGAGCCAAGAATAGAAACCAAACAGGCATTCTTGAATTCCAATTTTACAGCTATAATTTGATCTTTCTCCCTAATCTAGTCCAGGGATATGTTTTTTTTCTATCAAAGGAATACAAGATTCATTGGATGACAGTTCTACTAAAATCAGGGAAACTATCTGGGGAGCTTACAAGAGGGTAAAAGGACAAAGATAAAAGAAATGAAAGTAAACACTACTGAGCCAACTGAGATTAGTAACTCTGGGAGTCTACTTTATAAACCTTTTAAAATTCATAGATTCCACGAACTAGACAAGGGAACTAAAGCAACAAAACCACTCTTTAAAAGCCACAAAGCTTTCCAAAAGTATTTTCCCTCATACAAAAAAGCACTAAAGTGAAACAATTTTCGCAGAACACACTGCAGAGCTGGAAACATTGGAGAACCCTAAGGATTTTGTCTTCATTAAAAACTGTAAAAGGCTTCAATTCTGTATGATTCATATGCTCCAAGATTCTGAATTATTACTCCACGAGAAGAATGTAATAAGATGAATTGCCTAAGCACCAGCCAGTAAGATTTAACACACGGTACCCAAGATTACTCATGTACTATTTTCACACACCTTGCAATACAAACAGACCGCCAACTAGTACAATTTATTCAAAATACTGCAAACTCAACTGCCAAGAAAGTTTTAAATTACATGAGTTACATAAATAGATCAAAGTTTCTTCAAGGAAATCTTTCCTGTCAGTTCATGTGTTGTTATTCATCAGAATCAAGAAATTCAGCTTCTGTTATGAGTATACCAACATATAAAAGACAAGGAGCAAGAACAGTGTAATTAGACTGCTGTAAAAGTATGGCACTTCCAGCACAAAAAGGTCTATTTATAGGCAACTAACTAAAGCAAGGGGACTACAGCAATAGAAGTAAAACAGATCTGGATTTAAGTGGTGGATTTTGGCTTCATCATGTCTTCCAACTATCTCGGGGAGGGATAGATTGGGAATCAATCCATGAGTTCAAACTTACATTTTTAAAGTCCTGAAGCATCTAGGATACCAAACCAAATAATTTTTGCTGAGTGACATTTTATCATACTAGAAACCATGAAATCTTACTGTAGCTAAACTACAAAGCAAGCAATTAAAAACATAGTGCAAAAAATACTTTAAAACACTCTCAAAGGTCCTTTGGGATATACCACTCAAGCAGAGTTGTAAAATGAAATATGCCAACTTGCTTCACACAGGACCCCAGTTCCATATTCTAGAATCTGTTCACATTTAATATGGAATTATTGCCGAAATGAATACTAGGTGTCAGAATGAAACCAGTTTCTCCTCATACTGTATGAATTAAGAGCTGCCAACATGTAAAAACAAAATGTCAAACTCTGCTCCTCATTTTTAAGTCCTATAATCTACTTTCATGGTAATACAAAAAGTTTCATAAACTCAAAATCAGAGAATAAATACAAATCATGAAACCTTACTGCAGCTAAATACAAACCTTATTGCCGTAAATACAAATAGTAATCATCTGTTCTCACTCCTAGAGAGTACTGATTATACTAGCCCTACAGAAGGTGGATTGTTTAAAGTTACAACTTATTCACATCATCTCCAGATGGTAAATGAAGGCTTGTTTTAAATAATGAATCGTGGACTTTGTCAGTTTCAGTTATTTCTGTTACCTCTTCA